GTGTCTAGTGTCTACATTGATAACCAACAAACCAACGCTTAGCTATCTACACGCGTAAACTTAATCATAAATAAATAAAGCTTGACGAAATATCTGAAAGCATGGCGCAGACGCTACGTTTTGCACAACGTTTTGTCTGCATACAGTTAAATACGTCGCAGACAAAACGTTTTGATCAGTAAGCTGAACCGTAGCGTCTGGACCGTGCTTATATAAGTCTGTATCTAAATCGTACTAAAGTAAACAAACGTCAAAATTGTTGAACGAACGACAGTGACAGGGGTTCAAACGGCTGCGGACGGTGGTAAATTCGTCAAGTTGGATCCTATATACCTAGTAGCCTGCCCCTTACTGTATAGTCTACCATTGAAAGAATATGGACACATTCGAATTAGTTATGGCATTTGCCAACCACAAGGCCCGCAGAAAGGATTTTTAGGTTTTGCTCTTCTCTTTGCTTTTCTTTTATTTTAATACAGAGTGATTTTTCTTCTTTTTTTCAATATTTTCTTGTTCAGTGATGTATCTATGTTATTTTATTTTTTAAACGATGCTTGTGATGTTTTGTTCATTTATATTAACAACAGGCAGGGTAGATAAGTGATGTAATATTTACTATTTTTATTATACATATACTTGGAATTTCCCCCATGTTCCCTATTTTTTGTTTTATTTCCAAAATTTGATGTATGTATGTCTTTTGGTTTCTTATTTTTAAACAAAGTTTTTGAAAAACTGGAATAAAAGCGTTGTTCCATTCTACTACACCTCATATGCAAATGAATATTAGATATATACAATATGTAGGTACTTACATATTTATATTAGAATACAATTTATTTGTTCATATACATATATACAGGGTGTCCCACGAGGTTCTACCCAGGTGATAACTTCATAACGCGTCATCGAATGTGCCACATTGTAATTTTCTAACATTTTCTTCAACAAAGCCTTAAAAAATATGGCCGATTTTGTGAAAAATGCCATACCTTATACAGGGTGTTTACGGTCTTGTGATTTTATTTTTAAGGGGTGAATAAACACCTCAAAAAAATGTGATTAACGCTAAAACACCCTAATAAAAGTCAAACACTAAGGGAGATACGAATTTTTTTAAATTTATAACAATTTCATTTTCAAAAATTATGTTATTACTTAATAATCAGAAAAACACTACAACAGGTGCTCAAAGTAATCGCCCTGTTGTTGTTGAATACAAAGTCTTGCTCGACGTATCCATTAATCAGCATAACCTCCAAGTCCTAGGCCTTGCTGTCTAATGGTGTTCGCAGCTAGTTCAACATGGTTACGAAGATCTGCTAGATCAAGTATTTCATCGGTGTATACCATGCTTTTCATCAAGCCCCAGAAATAAAAATCGAGTGGAGTAAGGTCGGGTGACCGTGGAGGCCATCTAACCGGACCCTCCCTACGTCGATACACGTGGTTGTTATAAATTTAAAAAATTCATCTCTCCCTTAGTGTTTGACTTTTATTGGGGTGTTTAAGTGTCAATCACACACAGGTGTTTATTCACCCCTCAAAAATAAAATCACAAGACCGTAAACACCCTGTATACGCCATAAGTTACATTTGAGATTCTAAGGCAGCGTTCCGTAAGTTAACCAAGATTCTTTGTTTTTGAGGTTTTTCCGGTTCCCGTTCCGTAACCTAACCACTCCTGAAATCTGGCTAAGTTATGAAACACGGTTCCTGAAAAATTCGGTCCCAACTGTCAACCGAATCTACCCATCAAAAACTCTTGGTTTTATCGGTTTGTTCTAAAAGGCTTATTACCCTTTCAGCAAAAAGAGCTGAACAGCTCCTAAGCATGAGCAGACCAGACATCAGATTGGTGGTGGGACTGCTCACAGGACACTGCCCAGTAAAATACCATCTAAGGTTAATGGGCAGAGCGGAAGACGATCTCTGCAGATTCTGTTCAGGCGCAATAAAGACCGCAGAGCACCTGCACTGCGAATGTCCAACCCAATTCTGCAAGAGGCTCAAATTCCTCGAGGGGGCAACACTGTCACCAGAAGAAGTGGGCCAACTAACACCCAGGAAAATAGCTTCCTTCGGCAGAAGTCTACGCTTCCTGGAGACCATTTGAGATGTAGAGTCATGTACAAAATATCTGCAAAGGTAGCAGTGCTGAGCGGCTGAAAAAGCCGAAACGACTCCCCCGCAATCTACAATCTACAATCTATCGGTTTGTTTTCAATTTCTGACATTTGTTTGTTAGGTTAGGGATGATTTTTTAATTTTTTTTAAATTTTTCTTCCGCTTTCGACGTGTATTTGCGGTGGAAATGCAACAAGAGGTGAATATTATATTCATGCCTGACGATTGCTTATTACAAATATATTTTTAAGAGGATAATATTCTATCATTTAGCATCCAAGCCAAACCAAAGCTGAATCGAATCGTTCCACACATAAACCGCATTTTCAGGAACCAGAGTGTTACCATAGACGAACCGCTTCTTACCGATCGGTAACTCTGGTTAAGATACGGAACGCCGCCTGAAGTTGCCGTCACTTGACCGAAGCTGAAGCAAATAAAGTGGTGGAATTGGATGACACATGTCGAAGCGGCACAAAAAGTTAAGCAGATCTTCAACATTTCAATTGACGTGTCTCACAGAAATAGAAAAAGAGAGCTTAATTGTAATAAATACAACTTAGAAAGTAATAAAAAATGACATGCGCGCGCAACTTGTGGCTGCAGTGTAGCCAGATTGTATTGTTGCAGAGCAAATGTAGACAATACAAATCGAACATTATAACATTGAAGCAGTGATATATTCTCAAGTGTTTTACAACGCCCTAAATTAGACAATAGAAGTGCTTTAAAGTGTATATTAACATCGATGGCACTTTTATTTTGATAAATGTTTCATCCGGCAACATCGCCCAATGAATTTGCAAAGGAATATGTCAAGTTTAATCTAACATAACCTTAAACGACACTGCGATAGTTATCACCTGGGAAAAACGTCGCGGGACACCCTGTACATATTTTTTTTTTTTAAATATATATAGTCCGTTGGAAGGTTCTTGAGCTACGACTACTGAATAGACAGAGGCAACAATGGGCTATTGCTGCGTTGTCATATCAATAATATTTATTATTACATGAAAATGAAGGAAATTTTATTACAATTTTCATGTATTAATAAATATTATCGATATGACAACGCAGCAATAGCCCATTGGCCCCTCTGTCTATTCAGTAGCTATAGCTCAAGAACCATGCAACGGACATAAAAGATGGGCCCCGGGAAAATCCGTGCGGGGGGGCCCGGATTTGAAGTTACGCCACTGCTAGAAACACCCACTCTGTAGTCTGGACTTCTGTTTTCGATCCATCTGATGGACGAACTGTTGCGGACACACTAAAAAGGTGATTAAATTCCTATCGGGTCCAAACAGTGTTGATATCGCAGCGGCTGTAATCTGCGATTTATTCAAGGCCTTTGACTGTGTAAATCATGGAGTGCTTTTGAGTAAGTTAGAGCGATATGGTGTATGAGGGGTAGCCTTCGGTTGGTTAAGCATCATACCTTTTCGATAAAAAACGAATGGTGAAGGTGGCGAGTCAGTTTGAATTGTGGCGTCCTTCAGGGTTCCGTTCTCCACTTCTTTCCCTCGTCTATATCAATGACTTGTCAAAAATTTCCATTTGAGGTGAATTCACACTATTCGCAGATGATGCATTTCGTAGCATGGAAGAGAGGCTGATGATTAAAAGGCTATTATGAACTATTTAAGTAGCGTAAATGAGTCGTGTATTACAAGTTGTTTATGTTTTAATCTATCAATATCAAAGAGTATCATTCTTAGTTTTAAATTTGTTTGCGACAATTTTATATTTGAGAGTTTTATAGGAAGCAAACCTGTTGCCAAGTATTTAGGTATGTTTATTCATGATAAACTGAAGTGGTTTAATACCTTGTAGTCAATAAGCTCATCTCTGACAAACAATACGGGTTTTGTTGTAGATCAACAGGAGATCTGGCATACGTCAGTCACATTCATGACGAATCCAGAATCATAGCATTGGACATCTCTAAGGCTTTTGACCAGTTGTGGCACAAAGGTTTCCTCAGCAAACTTCCATCGTACCTAAGGTCTTCCGAACGAATTTTGCCATTGGGAGGTTCAGATCGTATCCGCTGCTGCCTCCTCATCCTTTCTGTATGGTCACTTCCTCAATATTCTTTTGGTCTTTTCCGCTGTTTCCAGTACTCGGCATTACTTTAGTCGTGTAAGTCAGAAATCTTACGTTCACCTAAGTTAACTGATCTCTTCTAGTTTGTATAGCACCCTCGTCTAGAAGTTCGATAAAAATCGAATGAATGAAACAAACCACTGAAAGGTACCATCAGAAATAAATTAGAAAATAATTAAATGATTCAAATGAAAAATAGAATAGTCCATATTCAATGAAAATTTTATTCCTAATGTAACTGTAGGCATAACTTTTATACCTAACTATCTAATAAGGAACAATACAATATGACGACTTAATTTATAAGTCACTTAATCAGAAACAATACACGATGGTTATAATAATTATTTTCAATTTTAAAACAGACTTAATAACATAAGAAGTATTAATTTGAAATGATTGCTAGTTTTCAACCACAATAGGTACCTACATATGCTTTTTTTAAAAATTATACAGTGTGTACATAAAGTAACGCATAAATTCATTATTTCGAGACAATTTTTTTTCGCCAAAACTCTGAAGCACGTCGATGACTTTCGTAGTAGAGGTCTAAGTTGAATTTGCATGAAAACTGTTGCCAAAACCATAGATTATAATATTTTTCATGGCAAGAACCAAGAACTATCAACTTGACATGATGTTTGCAACATTTTTTCATATGACCTTTGAAACATAGAATAGGTACACACAAATAAAGATAGTTACCTACATTTCCTATAGTGATTTTTCCAAAAAAAATTATAATACAAAGTAGGTGTAGGTACTAAAATTAAATTAATGCTAAGCGTATCTAGTGGCTCTGGTATCTTGCAAATACGGATGGAGATGCTGGTAAGAATGAGCAAGACCGCAATTATAAAAACTGATCATATCGGTGTAAGCCAAATTGTGCGTTTCGAATTTCGGTGTGATTGGAGTGAAGTTTTCGGATTTTGGTGATGTTTTTACATTCGCCTCTTGGTGAGTACCATATGCCATGTTGAATAAAGCTTCTGGATCGCAGACAAATTTGTAGACATATCTTTCACCTGTAACAGAAAATATTTATTTTAGAATAGTGTGTGTAATTCGAAGGAAAAGTGCCTTAGTTGCTCTGGAGAAATTGACGTGTCAGCTATTTTTTTCGTCAAGCAACAAAATATCACTTTGCGCTACCCCAATTAATTTTGTGTTTATGTCACCTGCAACTTTTTGCATAATTCCTTTTTCATAATAGTATCTTAGTGAACGGCTCAACTTGTCATAGTTCATCGCTGGGCGATTTTTTTGGGCTCCCCATCTTCTAGCAACCTAATAAAGAGAGTCAAATTCATTATCCTTTCGAATATGTAATGCACCATCACTCTACCTCTTCAGGCTCGATAAGTTTAAACTCCATTCCTCTACCAGTCCAAGCTATACATCCAGCGCTAGCGTCAGGAGTGTCGAGTAGCGCAACTAAAAATTGCCAAAGTTGAAGAGAACCTCTTCTACCATTTGTGGGATTTTGGAAAATGGTTGGCTGTGAAGTAGCCGGTTGCTCCTTCCTAGTCTTATAGATGTCTGAGGATTTTTCGGTAGAAAATTTCTCGTTTGTATCTAAAATAAAGCGCATGGATTTTGGTTTCAAGGCTTGTTTCGGTTTATACTTACTGCAATTTACTTGTCTCCATAATGTTTTTTTATTTGTAGAAGCTTCTACATTTTCACATGGTGTTTTGTAAGAACCTGAAAAATTGAATTGATATTAAATATAAAAAATATTTATTCTTTTACGTCTGCCTCGGTTAATGAATGATTCCTACATTTAACAATAAAATATACTGTCATAATTGTTGAACCATTCGTCTTTCTTCCACAGGATATTAAACGTGCAATTCTAGGCATCGGTCAAAAGAAGTCAGCAGGGAAGTAAAATTTATCATGGAACTTCCCTAATAAAGCTAATATTTTGCTATAATTCGGAAGTTCTATTCAGTACAATTTATTAGACAATTTTTTTTTTTTAAATCAGCGAAGAAATGGAACGTTTCTATCGTTCAGAAAGACTCAAAGTAGATTCGTCGACCAGCTAGTCTGGAATGGACTCATTGGAAGAAGACATTCGAAAATTTCCTTGTTGCCAACAAGCGTAAAACTGAAGATCTCAGAAATAAAATTAAACTACAACTTCTGGTAAATCATATCAGGGCCGTATCTAGACGAAAATTTTGGGGGGGTTAGACCAGTGGCAAAAAAAAAATAGTTACACTAATAATAATAAAAATAAAAGTATTTTATTTTCTACTTTACTATTATAGATCTATAATACCTAGGAAACGAAATACGTTAACACACCTATAACAACCTGATCCATAACGCCCGCAGCGTTATGATCTATAACGCCCGCTTATAATACCTTAAGGTGTTTTTGTTGTTGTTGTTGTTCTATTAATTTGCACTTTACCCTAGGCAGCCACTAAATGTCTGACCGAAAATAATTTTCGGTCTAGCCAGGATTCGAACCCGGTCTACCATCAATGTTTCCCATGTAGTCCAGCGCGTTAACCCACAGGACCACCACCGTTGCCTTGCCTTATGGGATGTTTATAGATATATTAATGTATTTCGTTTCTATGTACAGGTCGCAGGTACAGGTACAGGTCACAGGTACAGGTACATGTCAAAATACAAAACAATATTCTGTCACACAAGTTTAACTGATTTTGTTAATAACAAATTGATGAAAAAACATTGTGTTGAGTAGAAAATAAAGCATTGTATGCACCACGGGGATTTCAAGATTATAATGCCCTTCAGGCGAAATATATCCCTCGGGCCATAGGCCCTCGGGCTAGTTTCGCCTTCGGGCATTATAATCTACATAATCCCCTTGGTACATAAATAGCTATAATAAGTGTTGTTTGTTTTCAAATTGTTTTTTCTAAAATTAATTTTGAGGGGGGGTTTGAATCCCCAAACCCCCCTCGCCAGATACAACCCTGAATCATATAGCTCCTAATGTGTATGCATTGATGAGTGAATGTTCAACATATGCTTCCGCTATAGCCATACTAGAGAAAGCTTACATCAAACCTAAAAATGAGGTCTATGCTAGACATATATTAGCGACCCGTCAACAACAAGCTTCCGAATCTATAGACCAATATCTACAATCCTTAAACCTTTTAGCTACTGAATGTAATTTACAAGCTGTACTGCAGAAGATCATAAGAATGGCTACATCAGGGATGCTTTTATAAAAGGCCTAAACAACTCCTCTATACGCACTCGATTGCTTGAAAATACAACCCTTAGTCTCAATGAGGCTCATAATCAAGCTCAATCTTTAGAAATGGCTGAAATTCACTCACAAAGCTTCGTACAAAATTCTATCAATGCAACTTCAATTCAGTGTTGCCAAGTCTACCGTTTTAGCGGTAGAACTACCGTTTTGATGTATGAGCTACCGTTCTACCGTTTTTGATATAATTTTCTACCGCTAAATTTTTAATGATATTGAAAGGACATTTCTTTGTAGTAGCGTAGCGCGGTACTCGACGTCGACATCAGTTGGGTGCCGCTTGCTCACTCGGAGTGACTCCATTCGCACTCCAATTGTTCGGGTATTGCTTTTTGGCGTATCAGATTAAGGCTGGAGTGCGAACGGAGTCACTCCAGAGAAACCGTTTATCCACAAACAGTATTGTTGGTTTAATCAATTCCAAAGAATACATAGACAGTAAATTTTTAACATAAATATTGACAAACAATTGTTATCATATCATAACAACAAAATATACAAAAAATCTGAGCGGTTTTCCGTTTCAGAATGAGTATACCGTTCGTTTTTTTTTTCTAAAGATAAAATGACATTAGGTTGGTAATGCTTTCAAATTTTTTATGTAGAAAAGGCTTGTGTTGCCAACATAGTTACTAAATTTTTGACTTGGGGAATTATCTTTAAAAAAAAAACAGATTTTAGAGGTTTTTATTTTTTTTTTAAGAAACCGACCATAAGTATGTTCAGATATTATATGATTTACTCTAATAAAATATTTGGTTAAATCTATTAGACTATCCAAGATGCTGTCAAAACTAAATTAAAATGTCCGCCAAGAGGCACAAAAACCCTTTGTTTGCTTGTCAAAGTCACGTGTTTTGGATAGGCTTATATAGTGTTTTGTGTTTATCTTAATTATTTGCTTTTTATTTATTTATTTATTCTCTGTACATTTTGTTGTACCCACCCATAACTTTATATCATCTCTAGTGTATTTTTAGCCCAAATGGAGTAGGGGAAAATCTACCGTTTTTCTACCGCTTTTTTTATGTCATGCCTATCGCTTTCCTTATTTCCAACCTGGCAACACTGCTTCAATTGATTATACTTCAAATTCTAAGTCAGATCATTCGAATCAAATCTTCGCTACTTCTACCAAGAATCTAGCGAAATGTTGGTTTTGTGGAGGATCACGTCATCCTAGATGTCTTTTTTTCAGTTTCAGATGCTACTTGTTAAAAATGTTCCAAGAAAGGACATTTCGCCAGAATTTGTAACAGTAAAAAGCATAACTCTAGGACAACGTCAGCGTCCATCGTTACTGCAATTATCGAGACTGCAGCTTCGACACCAGGACTTGGAAAAGCTACAAGTGATGCAAAAATTTGTGGACAACCAGTTAAAGCTCTTATTGACACAGGAAGTATATCAAGTTCCATAGACGCTTCTCTTCTTGAGCAACTTAAGATTCCACAAATTCCTGCTCAGCAACGAGTGAATATGGCGTCAATATCATTGGTTTCTCAAGTTGAAGGAAGTAAGTTGTACTGTGTCACTAGAAACAAATACCCGTACATATGAAAACTTGATATTACTGGTTATGAAAAATCTTTGCTCAGATATTGTATTTGGTCACGATTTTCAACATCATCAGGCCTATTCGGGTTTGGAAAAAGGACGGTTCTAGAACGGTCCAAAACAATCGCACAGTTTATCATTCAACAAAATGACAACGACTCGGCTATCACAAATTTCAATAATAAACTGTGCGATGCTTTTGGACCGTTCTAGAACCGTACTTTTTCCAAACCCGAATAGGCCCATCATTCTAAACTTGAGATTTCATTCAATGGAAATCTGGATACTTTGAAAGTATGTGTTTTGATGCAAGCAGATATTACTCCTGCATCTCTATTCACGAATCGCAATAACACTTGCAGACCTATAGTTATTAAATCTAAGAAACAATCACTACAAGACCTGAAATTTATCGAACAAGAAGTCGAGATAATGCTTTCTGAAGGTATCAATGGAAAGAGTAATTCGCTTTGGAGAGCTCAAGCTTTAGTCACTTCCAGTACAAATCATAAGAGACGAATGGTAATCAACTATGCTCAGACTATAAACAAATTCACTGAACTAGAGTTGAGAAACATAGTAGACATTATTTCAAAAGTGTCAAGGTACCAAGTTTTCCGCACTATAGATCTAAAGAGTGCATATCACCAAATTCCAATTCTCCAACATGAAAAACCTTATATAGCGTTTGAGGCGTGCAGCAAACTATATCAATTCACAAGAATTCCTTTTGGTGTTATCAATGGAGTTGCTAGTTTTCAAAGAGTTGTTGACAGTATAATCAAGAAAGAAAATCTTCAAGGCACATATGCCTATCTTGATGATATCACAGTAGGTGGTAAGAAGAGCATGACAAAAATCTTCAAAAATTCTTCAAAGTTGCTGAAAAGTATAAACTTACTATAAACTCTACTTAATCAAAGTACGGACTAAAAAAATTAAATCTCCTAGGATATGAAATCGAACATCAACAAATCAAACCTGATCCTGATCGACTTCGTCCATTCTCAGAATTGTCTCCACCAGGAGATTATTCTTCATTAAAACGATTATTGAGAATGTTTTCCCATTATGCGAAATGGATTCCAAGATTTTCTGATAAAATCAGACTACTCGTATGTACAAACACAATCATGTCACAAGAAGCTCTATCGACTTTCAAAGCTCTGAAAGAAGATATTTCAAAAGCTGTTGTCACTGCCATTGATGAAAATCTCACATTCACAGTGGAAACAGACGCATCAGACTATGCCATTGGAAGTTGCTTATCACAAAATGGAGCTCCTATAGCATTTTTCTCAAGAACACTGTCGGAAAGCGAGAAACGTCATTCGTCAGTCGAAAAGGAAGCCTATGCTATTAGACCCTGAGATAGGGCCTGTTTAGTGGAGTCATTTTTTTTGTCTGGCATTTTGAGGGATGAATGTGGCTAGTTAGCTGATGAGAATATAAGTGGTTTTAAGGCCTGCCCCCTTTTCGAAATGTCCACAGAATTAGTGGAGTAAAATCACAATGAAATTATGACTTTGAGTGATTCCGAGGTATAACCAGATGAAACCTATATCATCTTGTAGAGAACACTCTATACAAGTTTGAACCTGCTCACTTTTCTCTAATTATTTAATTATTCTCTCTAGTTGCACCCTTGTGCAGTCTCTCTCTCGCTCTCTAAATAAAAAGACTTATTTTTTATCTCTCTGGCTGCTGGCTTGAAAACTCAAGTGATATAATATCGCGTAAAACATTGAGTTAATCACACTCCCCTTTTTTAAGGGCTCTCTAAAAATATAAAAACTCTCAACTCCCGAAGATTTCTATTAAGAATAAACTTTATCTTGTGCTCTTATTTAAAATATTATTGTTAAATTGACTATTGAGCACTTAGCAA